CGACAGACCTCAATGGCGGTGTGTATTCCAAATATTTGCAACAGTTAACGGCATCTCGAAGAAATAAATTTTTACTTTTGGCCCTCAGCGAGAACAACAGTGTACCTTGACGAAAAGATTTTATGCATGAGACTGAAAAACCACTACTATTTCAAGCATCTCTTCTTAAACCTGGCATTACTTTATTTGTTATTACACTAGACAAATATTTATGGTCGCCGGGTATATAAAAGTAACCTGTGGTCGAAATTTCTTACGAAAACGCCCTTTTTATGACATTATAAGAGCGTTATAGATCGAGCGTAGTATCGAAACGTGTAACTTAGTCATTTGACGACGTATGACACCGTCCTTCGTCTTTTCTTTATCACGATTCCACGACTTTCTTTTGCTACAATGTCATGCAGATCTGTCACTTGCGATATCAGAAAACAAGTCTTGAGTGCTTTTTGGTTCCCACGATGCACGACAACACCCTGCTTCGCAAAACTATGGCATCTTTTGAGAACACAAATCAAACAGCCTTCTCAAAATATCTGGTGAATTCTAATTTCCAGGACGTGCCAGATCGTAATGGAAGTAGTTTGCTCTCTCCGATATATCGGCTCCGTTAAAAGAGAATCGGCCAAGCGTGAAGAGTTATACTGCACAAGCTTAAGTAGCTCCTGTGGGGTCTAGGGGTGTCAGCGGTGGGTCCACGTGATGGTTGTAGTGGTCGCTCACTTGCTTGCAGGTGAGACTACGCCTAGCGTCCATTTGCTAGCACCTAACTCTCACCTGTGGCTCCACGTAGCTGGGCTCTGCTCAGCGGCCACACCCCGGGCAACCGTCTCGACCGGCGGGCTAAACCAGGTGAGGGTATCCGTGCGTGCACCTGCACGCCCGGTACTGTGGTCTGCGCTGGCCGGATGGATCTTCGCGTCGACATCGTCGAGACGAGGCTCTGCCTGGACCACCGCAGGAGGCCACCAGGTAAGTTCCCCCTCAGGTAAGTGCGTTTGCTTTGTTTCTTCCTTTTGTTTGTTGAAGTTCCGAGTCGTACGCTGCGCTTGCTGCCTGCCCTTTATATGCTAGTCTGTCTGCTAATAGCTAAACGACACCCTCGATGCCTGCTGCGATTGTCTGTCCGTCAGTCTATGCCACTCTCTACTAATAGCTAGGTGCTACGGTGCTTGACTTTGTGTGGTGCCCTCACTTTGTCTCTGACTGATGACTGTGTCCGCTTGTCCACTCTAGTTCTAAGTCCGCTAGCGTTAGTTAGTGTGTATGCTCTCTCCTACTTCACTCCATCACATCATCACCTCACCACCAAGGTCCCAGGCTAATTCGGGTCGTTCTCTCACTAACAAAAAGTCGTGGCCCATAGTGGAGTCCGGCAGCCGTCTGGGATAACCGGGCAGCCCTGTTCAGGGATGCGTTGCCTGCCCCCGCGAGGGGGAGGGGGCTAGAAAAGGTGCCCTAAAGATCGCTGGGAACCACGCTGTCTGTAGGCTGGCCGTGGCCGCAGACAAAAAACACACGGTCGAAACAGCCAAAACCGAAACAACAACAACAACAACAACAATCGCTCTCTTCCTCTTCCAGCCTATTCTTCTTCTTCTCCTACTCCTACTATCGCCGCCGCAGTCGCCAGACTGGCAGGGTGAGCCCGCTCACTCTGGCAGCCTGGAATGTTCGTTCCCTTTTAGACAATCCGAGGAGCAACCGACCGGAACGGAGGA